ATACAAATACTTTTCTTTCTGAACATTCCTTATTTTGACATATTTTTATCATTTCCTATGAGCCAGAAGCAATGCTAGCCACATGGACTTAAAATTTAGTGAGAAAGACTATCCGCACATAAGTCAAACAAGTAAATATTGATGAGTGCTACAAAGAAAGGGAAAGGGCAAAAGGGCACTGATGTTGAAAGTTTGTGTAGCTGAGAGAGGGTATGAGGCATGAAAATGTTCTAATGTGGGAAGACAGAAATGAAGTTAATTCAGTTAGAGGCTTCCTCAAGTGGGGAAAAAAAGTCTTTTAAGCAGGGTGAGAGAGTAAGCAGGAATTCACTCTTGCCAAAAGGTGGAAGACTGCTAAGGTAGGAGAGCCCAAAGAAAGGATGGTTAGGGAATTAAAATAAGGCCAGGGTGCTGGAAATCTAACGAGGACTGCAAGAGGTGTGGCTGCAAAGGCAGGGAGCAACAAGCATGCTGGGCTTTAAAGTCACGCTGAAGGTCTCTGGGCTTTATCTTAAAACAAATGGTCCTTGAGTAGCATGTTCCAAGATACTTCAAGTTGGGACTACAGCTAACTCGGGGGTGGGTAGGGGAGAGAAGCAATTATGCAATCAGAAGAATTCTAATTTCAGTAGAATTGAAACATACTCTGCACCTCTATCACTCTGTGTGGGTGATCTCACTCAATATCAAATTAAAGAAAGCGTATGAATTTATACTGATAACCATTTTCAACTGGTCCATTTGGCTTTGACAAAGTGGTCTTATGTGCATTTTTGTGTACCTATAAAGGACGTATGGGCCGATTTTATGTTGTTAAAAAGCAAAAAAGAAAACATCTGAAATTATTACAGTCCAATGAAAAGATCCATTTCACTGTCTGGCTATGGATTAGCACTATGCTTCAAGTTTCTTGCCTTTAAAAAGAAAAAGATTCTTTATAAAGGAAAATATTATAAATATTATATTTATATAATAATAATAAATATTATAAATATATTTATATAATAAATTTATATAATAAAATATTATAAGAGAATACCAACAAAATATCTTCCAAGATTGTTTTAATTGTTTAGTCTCACCTTGCCTATTCTCAGTTTGGATTTCAAAATACAATTTGGATTACAAAATACAATTACTACTAGAAGTGATTTCCTCTAAAGTTTCAATTGTATCAAGGGTAAAATTTAAAGGTAAAATTTAAAGGACTGACAAAGTTACTAATAAAGGAATGACAACTAGAATTTTCTGAATAGTTTCGGTGTACCAGGTAGCATGTTGGGCACCTTAATACACATTATCTAATTTAAATCCAATGACTCTGAAAGACACATAGTATTCTCTATTTTACAGATAAGGAAACTGAGGCTCACAGAAATAAGCATTTCCACAAACTATATACACCTTACACCCATGCCATCCAATTTGGTCCGTAACTATCTGTGACAAACACTTCAAAAAGTGACTAGTTTGATCAAGACGTACTCTAAGTATCACATACCAGATTTCAAAGACAGTTTAAGTACAATATACCCTGTTAATAACTTTGAATAATGATAACATGTTGAAATGGCAATCCTTTGACTATAGTGGGTTAATTGCATTACTTAGATTAACTTTACCTGTTTATATTACTTTTTAAATCAGTTACTAAAAATTTTTCAATTCCTTATTTAGTTGTTCACATTACATTTCTGTTGAACAGTGCTGGCCTGAATGAAAGACTGGATATTGAATGGGCCAGGAGACAGACTGGTACAGAAAATACACGGATTTACGCAGATCTTGGTTTAAATCTCCTCTCCATCAGTGATGTCCTGGGTAAGGTACCACCAAATCTTTCTGAACTTTTGTATCATCTACATTTCGATAACATTAAATCTCTTCAACAACTGTTGTATAAAATATGTAAAGCAGCCAGCTCCCACACAATGGCCAAAGGGCAGGAAGCAATTCCTGAGTACCTCCTACAACAACCGATTCCTTTAAAAATTGGTCCCCAAATGAGCAGAAAGTTCACTCATTTGAAAATTATGTTTTATTTTTAAATAGGAGGCGTTAAAGAACTCTTACATCTGCCATAATACTATATGGCTTATACATATATGGCGTTATAATAGATGTAATCTTCAGTTAATCCTCTTTCTCTTTAGATTAAAATTGTTCATGATACTATAGACTGGGAAGCCAGATGAGATTATGGTGAGACATAGAAGGGCGCTAGTGTTTCTTATGTAAACAATAGTTGAATTCCAGTGAAAGAGTTTTGAACTCTAATTCAGCTAATCAATGTCAAGAACTGAGACTACTGAGTAAAACAGTACCTAGGTGAGTAGAATTTTGGATCACAGTGCAAACAAATAGTGTCCTAGCACACAGGCTAACCCTGTGGACTGAAAAAAGTATTATTACTAAGAAAAGCAATCTGCACTATATAAGAAATTACAAAATTACGTGGCCCATGCTATCCAGTATTTTGTCATTTCTTTCCCCTAGGCTTGTGTCAAGAAGTTAGCCCTGTAGCAAAGTCTGCGTGCTTTTTTACATTTTTATATGTATGCATTCAAATGTGAACGTGGGACAGCTGGAACATTTACTTGCATTATTTGGCCTAAAACTGCCATGTGGCAATGGATGAGACTGTTTTTTTTTAAACTGAGGGGTATCAGGGAAGGGGGTAATAATTAAGAATTTAAGTCACCTAAATGTAGCCTCTTAAATGTCACATATAGCTTAATGTCAAAATTGTTCATCTCTTATCTATAACACATCTTTGAGAAAAAGAGACTGGGAGGCTGGGAATTTAGCTCAGTGGTTTTGCCACCTGCTGCGTAAGTGCAAGGACCTGAGTTCAATCCCCGGTACCAAAAAAAAAAGAAAAAAAAAGACTGGGGAAATAAAACGCTATTAGAGTCACAGATTATAATAAACATGAGAGTATTCACTGTATTTTAATTTACAATTTAACACAAGAAATAATCTTTTAGTTTAGCTTTTAAAAGGCATACTCAACCAGATGGAGTGGGGCAATGGGGAGAGGGCTTTTCTTCTAATCTATGTTGCATTAAAAACCCAGTACCTGTAACAAAATTTTTAGCATCTCCTGAGTAGAATGGACTTGATCCTGGCCCTTTGAAACTAGTAGACTCAAACTGATTTATAATGTGCTGTACCTACAATACACATACAACTATCTTTAGCACATGTCTTCCAATTTAGGACTATAGGTAGAATAAAACAGGAAAAAAGAAAATGACATAGCATTAGCAGCATTAGCTAACAAAGACCAGACAGTCCTGGACAATTAAAAAACAATTAGAAAAAAATCTACCCAAACCCTGGCAATGTTACATTTCTAAAACTTAAAATTACAGGGAAAAATAAACTCCGTCAATTTAACAGAAAACAATCAAAACTTAAGAACACCTAAGCTAACAGACATATTTCCAGAATGTGTATTTTAGAAAGGTTTATCAGGAAAGAATTTATTTGCATTAAGTTTAAATTAGTTTATACTTGAGTCAAACCTTTGAAGAAACTTGCTTTATTTCTAGGAATCCCTTTTTGGGGGAGGAGAGGAGGGAAATGGCTAGATTGAAGAAAAAAGTTACGCCTCGTGCTTTCAATATGAAGGCCCTATCTGTGCCCCGATAGACTAATACTCTCAGCCCTGCCGAGCTGTTCCGTCTTCAGATAATTTGATCTGTCTCTAAAGTTTTGCACTAAAGAGTTCATTTTTTGCAAAACGCCTCGGCAGCACTGAAGTCGAACTGACACTAGGAACAGGATCCGTGTGTGCAGCGTCTGCTGTCAAAGCCTGCAAAGGTGTACCTAACCTGTGCGCGTCCCACCCAGGGAAGGCTGGCCCTGCTCCCGCAGCGCCCTTCTCCCCCACACCCCCCCATCACTACAAGTTTTAAACTTTGTTTCCTTCGGGGATCTGCACCAGCGCTACTAACGCTGTCCAGGAGACAAAGGGCCGTGCTGTGTGGGTTCACGGGATGCCAAATTTTTTAGTTGTGAAACAAAGCGCTCCGATTTGAGATTCAGGAGGAGGAGGAAGAGGAGGAGGAGGAGGTGGAGGAGGAGGAGGATGGAGAGCACCGAGGCGGGCTTCTCCCGAGACGGCTCCCCGCCCGCGCCCGCCCCGGCCCGGCCCGCTCACCGCTTCACGCGGATGATCTGATCCCGCATGGGCTTGATGTCCTGGAAGCTCTGCTGGTTGACCAGGCTGTAGACGAGGATGAAGCCCTGGCCGTTCTTGATGTACAGGTCCCGCATGGACGCGAACTGCTCGGTGCCCGCCGTGTCCAGGATCTCCAGCACCGACGGCGACGAGTCCACCTCGATCTCCTTGCGGTAGAAGTCTTCGATGGTGGGGTCGTATTTCTCGATGAAGGTGCCGGTCACGAACTGCACGGTCAGGGCGGATTTGCCCACCCCGCCCGAGCCCAGCACCACCACTTTGTACTCGCGCATCGTCCCTCCGCGGGCGCCGCCGCCGCCGCCGCCCGCGACATAGACCTGCGCCCGCCGCGCCGCGCCCGGACCTGCCCCGCGCCGCCCT